GGCTCTGACATCAACGGATTCATCCCTTGATGGAGTCACAGCTGAAGGGACAACTGGGAGGCGATAAAACTGCAGGAGGTGGGACACAGTTGACCTTGAGTATGACCTGGGGGGCGTGCCCTTGGGGACTGCATCTTGTCCCCCATCCTTTCTCTGTCTACTTCTTGGCTGTAAAGAGCTGACAGCTCTCCTCTGCCAGGACCTTCTGCCAGAAGTTCTGCCTCATCTCAGGCCCAGAGCAGCGGAACCAGCCCACCTCGAGTCTATCGCCACCTCAGTGAAAAGCTAACGCGTGTGCCTTTCATTAACATCATACACTTGGATTTTTAAATGTGATCTAGGGCTGGGGGTGTAGCTCAGCCGCAGCGCCCGTAGTTTGTACGCACAAGGTTTGTATGGTTTGACTCCCAACCCTGCAAAATAAAACATTTTTTTAATGTGATCTATTTTTGTCAGCTGAGTATTTGGTCCGTATGTATTTATTGTGATTGCTGATACACATGCACTGCTTTCGACTCTCATTTTGTGTTTTCTTTTTCTTCCCCCTGATCTATTTCCTTTTCTCTCCTTTATTGTCTTTTTTTTTTTTTTTGGAAGATTTACGTTTTTTCTATACACCTAGAAAAGGGGTTTCTTACTTATATTCATATGACAATATAATCTGAATAAGATATTGAATTTGATTTTGATTTATAAAAAGGAGGGGAAGAAAACAATAGAACAGAGTAAATGAGAGGAGGAAAGGAGGGAGGAAGTGGTTGTTTAAGAAGTAGTCATGGAGACCCCCTCACATCCATTAGAATGGCTATGACTTAAAACACGGAGAGGAAATTATAAGTAGGGTCAAGGATGTGGAGAAATTGGAACCTCTGTAAATTGCTGGAAGAAACGTAAACTAGTAGAGCCACTAGGAAAAACAACAGGGTGGCAGTTCCTCAAAAAAAATAATAATAAAATTACTCCGTGATACAGCAACTCCAGTTCTGGGTATGTACGCAGAAGAACTGAAAGCAGAGACTCCATGAGATATTTGTAGATGCTTATTCATAGAGCACTATTAACAACATCCACAAAGTAGAACAATCCAAGTGTTCATGGACAGATGAATGGATAAGGGAAGCATGAGATATGCACACAGTGGAATGTTATTCGGCCCTAAAAAAGGAATTCTAACACAGGCTACAATATGGATGAATTTTGAGGATAATATGCTTTGTGAAATATGCTAGTCATAAAAGGACAAATACAAATATGTATGGTTCCATTTAGGTGAGGTACCTAGAATGGTCTAAGTGATAGAGACAGAGAAGAATGGCTTTTGTTAGAGGCTGTGGGAGGGGGAATGGAAAGTTACTGTTTAATGAGTACAGAGTTTTAGTTTTGCAACATAAACAAAGATCTGGAGATGGGTGGTGGCAATGGTTTCCCAGCAACGAGAATACACTCAATGCCACTGAACGTGCGATTTAAGGTGATAAATTTTATGTGCATTTTACACATGTTTTTAACCGTGAAGTGGTGGGAGGAGAAAGGAAAACAGACTGCACTCCCTTTAACTATGCATGATCAGCTCTAAGCCCTTGGCTCTGAGGAACCAACACTGTTGAGAGCTGGTGTTGCTGTTTGCATTTGCTTCTTATAACAATCGTATCAGAAAGGCATTCCACCCACCCTTGCCTTACAGAGAGTAAAGAGGTTTGTCCAATTTCCAAATGATAATTTAAATCCAAGACATCACTTTGATTTGGGTCTTCTGGGTATGTGAAAACACACTCACCAACATAGCTAAATCGCCATGTCTTGTGTCCCCGACACCCAATCCCAGCACTTTCCCTGAACTACTGCGATAGCTTTTTGCTGGATGATGATACTACTTTATAACCCAGTCGGATTTTTCAATTAGTCGCTTATTCCTAATGCACAACTACTTACTGCTGAAAGTTGCTTATGAATTTCCCCAAAGCAAGTCTCTTTTCCTCCACGCTTAAGCTGTTCCACTTCAATCCCCACAATATTTGCCATCGGGGCTCATGACATATTCTGGCCTGGTGAGGCTGTGTGGGCGATTTGGTTACAGGTAAATCCATCTTGAGAAAAGTTGAGCATGAAATCTGGTTCATGAGTGAAACCATGAACCCATAATCTTATCATGTGTCTGTTTCTCCCAGTCGTAAACTCTGGACTCACTGAAAGCAGGGACTGTGTCAAACCCACTTTCGTCCTTGGTGCCTGTCACAGACCCTCGGGAAATGGATGGTTGAGATAGTTGGTGAGGTATCAGTGGAGGTGCTGGTGGTGGCCGTACCGTGACACCAAGGCAAATTCTTGAAGTTATAAAGAATCACAACAGACAGTATTAATAAGCACTTACTCAGTCAGACACTCTGTGGGGTGCCCTACATATTTGGAGTGTGAAATCCCAAAACAACACTATGTGAAAAGTATTTTGGTCCCACATTACAGATGAGGACACTAGAATTGAGACACTATTTGTGGTTTTTGTTTGTTTTTTGGTTTTATGTTTTGTTTTGTTTTTGGTCCTGGAGACTGAACCCAGGGGTGTTCTACCACTGACCTAGATCCCCAGTCCTTTTTATTTTTTATTTTGAGACAAAGTTGTTGTCCAGGCTGGCCTCAAACTTGTGATCCTCCTGCCTCAGCCTCCTAAGTTAAGTAATAATTTTGACCAAAATATCACAGATAAGAGGTGTAACCAGGAATTTATCTAGCTTTGGTTCATACAGCTTTGTATTTTTACCTGTTTCAATGCAGCGGGTAGGAAAAGAAAACTTTCAAAATAAAGATACTTCAGTACCTCTCGTCATTTGTTAACTGAGAAAGCTGTCTCCTCTTCTATATATTGGGACATTTCTAGGCTGCCTATGCCTGCCTAAATTTTAAGGTTATCTCAGATGAAGTATTTTGTAAACTGAAAATTTAATTACAATAAACGCTGGGCTTGGTGCTTCTACTCTCGTTCTCAGTGCCACTCAGCTCTTTCAAGCCCATTAAAATCTCAGGCCTGGTGGAAATTTTCCTTTATGTAGATAGTGATTATCCTGAAAACTCTCTATTGAATCAATAGAGATTATTGATGAATCAATAAGATTATTCAATGAATATGATTACTTACTTATTGCTAAAGGAGAAAAGGTACCTTTTACAGTGGAAGAATCTGGCAGATACCACCAATTGGGGACATCACCAATAATGGAACAAACCAATATCATGCACCTGCTGATGGGATGCACTGAGACACAACACCTCTAAAATAGCATCCTACCAAAATGTAATCATAAAGATCAGATTTTTAAGACAAAACTGAGGAATTATTCCAAAATGAAAGAAACTGAAGAGACTTGGCAACAATATAATGTGTTGTCCTAGAAGGGGAAAAAATGGCAATAAAGCTGGTAAATGGGATAATAGGCAAAATGCAAGTAGACAGCATGCAATTGATAGTGTAGTTAGTGTTATTATAACTAGATGTTCTGAGTTTGATCATTGTGCTTAGGTTAGTAAATTCCCTTATTAGAAGATACACACCTGCGTATTTAGGATGGACCCCAAAGTAAATTACAGACAACAACATGATTTACTTTGGGTCACGATAAATAAATAACATAAAGATACCACCTACTTATATATGGGCTGACTGACTTAATTAATAAAGAAAACCTATGTTGGGATAAAAGGTAATTACCTTAAATATGCAAATGACAGATGGGAGAAAAATTAGTTTTGTTTTTAGGACACACTACTACTTTTCCACAAACATGTCAGGAATTGGAGAAATCTAAATGTGGGGGTGTAAGGCAACAGTCAAAGGTGCCCTACATGAGAATCCTGGTAGCATGTTGCTCTGAATCTAACACCTCCTCCAGGGATGCCCGCAGTCTGGTCGGCAATCCCACCCAGCGCGACTCTCCCTTCTCTGGCAACTGCTTCAGATACAGGATACCCTGGGGGCATCCAGTGCCAGCCGCGTCCAGAGGTGCACAGTAACCCAGGCTGAGCGAGTGGGAGGGGGGACCTGACACCTCCAGTCCCCAATGTCTAAGGACCTCCTGGTAGTAAATGAGTAAGTGGATTCAAGGATGACTGCATTCTAATATTCTGGGATGGTCAGCAACGTAAAGGTCAGCAACTTGACCCGGGGCCGGCATCCTACCGTCAGATTTGGAGGGAAAGTGCGGGGAAGCGCGTCTCAGTGGCTAAGCCGGGAGGAGGGGGCGCAGGAGCCGCCGCGCGGTCGAATTCCACCCTTTCAAAGGGTCGCAGAAGCTGCGCGGCACAACCTGAAACTCAGACGCGGTCACAAACTCCTGCCACCCTAGCCCACGGCCCACGCGGGACGGGGCTGCTGGATGCTCCCCACACTCGGGAGGAGAGGGCTGCGGACGCGCGGCGGGGGTGCCGCTCGGCGCGGGGAGCGCGGACCCCGGGACCCCGCGACCCCGGCCGGGGCCACCCCGCGCACCGCTGCGGCTGGGACTGTACCTCGGGCGCTGGCGACGCGGCGTGGCTGGTCGCGTCCAGGCTCCGGGAGCCGGAGGAGCCGCGGCGGCTCATGGCAGGACTCCGGGTGCCCGAGCGCAGCGGCGCGCTGAGCCGGCGGGCGGCGCGGACGCGTCTCCTCGGGCAACGGTAAACACCTCCGGGAGGCGCCGGCCTCCTGAGGCTGTCCTCCACCGCGAGCCTCTGCGACTGAGCGACCTGGGGTCCGCGGGAATGGAAGTCCGCGCTCACGGTGGGACTCCACTGTAAGCGCAGCTCCAGGTACTCTGTCCTTATGTCAGGGACCAGGGAGAACGAGTGGTCACTTCTACGGTGCCAGCGCACGTGAGGTGTAGGCACTCACCCACATAATGGTGAAGGGAGCATTTATTTAGCACCCAGTGTGTGCAAATGCGCCTGCGAGCTCCAAGGCCCCCTTCACAGGCGTGCAGCCTGTGTGCCGCCGCACAGGCCCGGGTTTAATGCCCTGCTGTTCTCATGTTGAAATTCCTCGTTCAGATTCCTTGAAACTTTGGGAGTTTCATTTTGTACTGGGCTTTGCAGATTACTTGGCCTGTCCTGGTGAGCCTTCTTTATTTAACCTTAGCAACAACCCTGCAGGAAAATAGAGGTGATGGTAATACTAGGGTTAGTGACAGCACGGCTTCTCATTCTGAAATCCAGGTGCCCTAACATGAGGTGTTCTAATCGCTCTTTAAATGAAACAGGATTACAAAGTGGGTATTAGAATAATGTAATGCACTTTTAAGATAAGGCAACCAACCCTCAAGGAAGAATGAAATACATTGTTCAAGAATATATAAATGACAAACAGTAAGGGTGACAATAAGACCCCAGATCAGAAAACTAAAGCATAGAGAGTAACCTGTCCAAGGTCCATTAGAGAAGTCCCAACCTGAAAAAGCGCTTCTCTATAAACTGCATACGGCCTTTTGCTCCATAATTCCATGTCACAAAGTCTAATTCCATTCATTGTGGTTAACCTTGCGTCTCTTCTTGGTGAGAACAGGAGGTAGGAATTGGCACAGTCTTAAACATCCTTGTTAAACAGCTTTTCTCTGTGTGAGGGCAGCAGGCATTTCTGAGGGCAGAAAAAGTGCTTGCCCGGCTTTGCCCCAGTGCCTGTGAACTTTCTGAGATGTCAAGGCATGAGCCATGCGACTTCCAAGGCAGCATCTAATGATGGGGTCTGATAATGTCTAGGGAGTTGAGAAGCAGGACTCTGGGGGCTTCGCCCTGGAGGGGACTGCAGGGAACCCCCAGGGCACAGCATCTTGATCTGGATGGGGCACTGCAAGTCTGAGGGCAGTTTACACTCAGGAGGGAAGTGAAATGACCAAGCACACTCCAGTCCAGACTTCCCACAAAGCTCCACTCGTGGGCAACACTCTGTGGTGCCTAAGACCCCAGTACAGACTTCTGATTGTCTTTAAATGACAAGGGAGACAGGAAGCTGCCAGAGTTGTGACCTTGTACCCATCCTCTACCTGCATCTTTATGGGAGAGAGATGTTCCTAACTAGACACCCGGCTGAATTTGTTTCAGGGAATGTAGACTCTTCAGCTGATAAGCTTTGGAAGAGCAATTCTTTGCTGCGAATGCTGCACCCAAAGAAGGTAACAGCCTGATGGTGCTAGGCCTTGATAGGGTTGGTGAGGGGGCTGGAGGAGGAGACTGGCCAGGCCAGCAGAGACGGGGAGCCAGACCAAGTGGGAGTGGGAGGAGGAGGAAGATTTAGACTGGCAGATCTTGGTGAGGCCTAACCAGACAGCAAGGAGACAAAGCAGAAGAGAGTTCAGTTTGGGACAACTTTAGTCTGACTCTGAAAGGAGAAAACCAGCAGATATCCTGCAGTGTGGAACAGGCAGTCCTGGGCACATCAGCTCGGAGCAGAAAACCCAGCTCCTTCTCTACAATGTTAAACCGTCCCCTGAAATACACTGATCAACGTGGCATTCGGAGATATATGTAAAATAAACACAATATTTGAGAAAAGGTAAAAATGCTTCAAAAATAGCTCTGGGGGCATGAAAAATTTGGATCTTGCTTGTGGTGTCATAAATTTATTACTCTGTTTTCCTTCTTTTGTTTAACTGCTTGTTTGTTTTACAAACACTAACATGTTTCCCAGGGAAAAATGTACTGAGATAACAACTTTGGGGTTTTCAATTTACATTTAAAAGCTTGTCACTGAAACCACTCCTATGACATTTAGTTGTCTAAAGATTGATTAAAAGAGTATGTTTGATTTAAATATTTTCCTACTCAGGTGCTGGAGACGTGGCTTAGTGGTAAAGCACTTGCCTACCATGCATGAG